ACGGCGGCGCGTCTTGGGTGCTTTGTTCACCTGGGTGTGTTCAGTAACCAGAGAATCTACATCTAAACCCTTAAGCTCAGCATGACTCTCTGCATTTTTAAGCATGTGCAGCAAAAATTCAGCCCTCTTTTTGGGCCACCGACGCTGCGTCCAGCCCCACTGTGTGGCACACCTACCAACTCCATCACTGTAACGCCGGAATGGCACACACTGCTTCTTTAATGTGACATCATCAGATACTCGGTGGCCTTTCGGCTATGCGTACCCGTGATGGCCTGGGCAGTTTCACGCGTGTTCTTAATGTGAACACGAAGATTTGAGCCTCTTGATTTGCATGATTTTGTGGGGTTTTCTGGGTCGAGAGAGTAGCGAACCTTTTCACAGTTCAGCTCAGGCCGTTCACAGGAAGAGCTCCAATCTCCATTACAGGGTGCCCTCCTGAGACCCCATGCGGTGACGCCCTCAGCCCCATTCCTACCTCTAGCCATTCAGTCTAGAGCTGGGTCTGGCACTCACCTGTGACCCCAGCACTTGGGAGGGTGAAGCAGGAGGACCTGCGTGAGCTCTGGCCTCCAGAGGAGTCCGAGGCCAGCCTTCTGAATTATATATCAGGACCCTGTCTCAGATTACCCACTCCTTTGAAAAATTACCCACTCCATCTGCAAAGCGCTACCATTGCGTCCCCACCAGTAACGGAAACCAAACAAAATAAAAAACACTTACTTTTTGCTTAATGTATAGATGTGTTTGAGTTCAAGATATGACACTCCAGCATATCTTAGGACATGAACAAAAGTTCTTATGGCTCAAAAAACCCAAAACAAAAATCTGAGTATGAAGTATATTTTACTTATTTTTTTAAACAGGCCCTTGATATGCAGTTCAGGCTGGCCTTGAACCTACTATAGAGCCCCAGGCTGGCCTGGTACTCATGGGGATCCTCCTGCTTCAGCCTCCTGAGCACTGGGATTACAGGTGTGTACCATCACATCCAGCTTGGGTCTAAACTTTTTTTTTTTTAATGTGTGTTTGGTACAGTGTCTTACTATGAAGCTCAGACTTGTAGTGATCCTCCTGTTTTCAGCCTCCCCCATGCTGGGATTACAGGCATGTGCCACCACGACCAGACTCGGTGGCCAGGTCTACACACTCAGGAGTGGGCCAGTGCAGCAAGTGGTGCTGGGGATCAAACCCAGTACTTGCTTGAGCAGACGCTTCGTCCACTGAACTATCCTACTGGCCCAGGTCCAAACTTTTGATAATTCAAGTTTCTGACATAAACTGCCAGCAGACAGAATGAACAGCAAGACAGATTTGGGATGCAATATGTGTGTGTATCAATTCCCCAAGATGAACCTAATTATAATGTATCAGGGCCGAGGAGATGGCTCAGTAGAATAAGCACTTGCCTGGCAAGCACAAGGGCCTGAGTTCAATCCCCAGTTCTGAAAAAAAGAAAGAAAGAAAGAAAGAAAGAAAGAAAGAAAGAGAAAAAAAAGATGAATATAATTATAATGTATCACAAACATACTAATTTAAAAACTAAAGGGCTGGTGAGATGGCTCAGTGGTCTAAAGCACCTACTTAGAACAGGCTTAGCAAAGCACAGGGACCGCGGTTCAATCCCCCAGCACCACATGCCAGCCAGCCCCGCCCCCTGGTGGGCTGAGCTGGCCACACACACACACACACA